ATATTTTTTAATAATCACCACATCATATTCTAGGGTCTTACTCAACTTGATAATGATACCGGCCTTAGTGCTCTTAACACCTTCTTAGAAGATAAATCTTATATAGAGGGGTAAGTTTAATATTTATATGAAAAAGGATCATTGATCCTTTCTATGAGTATATATAAATATTTATTTATTTATAAATATAAAATGATGAAATTATTTTGGTCCGTGTTTCTGAAATGGAATTAAGACACCATTTTGTGAATGAAAAAACTTCCAAATTTTCTGATCAAAGATTATAATTAATTAATAATAACAGATCTAGCTTAAACATATATACAAAAAAAATTAATAATAACAAATTTTATAAATTAAAAAATTCTTTTCTTTCAAAAGATATGAACCATCTCAAGCAGACGCATCCGTTTATGAAGCTTTAAAGAGCAAAACACCAAATTCAAAAACATATCCACATGCAGCACGTTGGTATAAACATGTCAGTTCATATTCTAGTTCATTTAATTCTCTTCCCGGTACAAAAAAAGATGCATCACATTATGGCCCAGATGTTGTCGCAGCAGACGACGATGATGATGAAGTTGATTTGTTTGGTTCTGATGATGAGGAAGAAGATGCAGAAGCTGAACGTCAAAAGGCTGCTAATCTTGCCGAATATCAACGCAAGAAGGCTAACAAACCTAAACCAGCAGCCAAAAGTATGGTTATTCTGGATGTTAAACCTTGGGATGATACTACTGATATGGCGGAATTGGAGAAATCTGTCAGATCTGTTTCTTTGGATGGTTTGGTTTGGGGTACTTCTAAACTTGTTGCCGTTGGTTATGGTATTAAAAAATTACAAATCACATGTGTTGTTGAAGATGAGAAAGTCAGTGTTGGTAAGTAATTAATTAATTTACATTTGGGTGTGTGGAGGAGGAAGGAATATTTGTTAATTGGTTTTCTTTTTTATATGTTACTTATAGATGATATGGAAGAAAAGATTACTGCTTTTGAAGATTATGTTCAAAGTGTTGATGTGGCAGCGTTCAATAAATTGTAATTATTAAATAGCAGTAGTATTAATAAAATTTAAAAAAATGATGATTTTATCATGATTAATATTATTAAATCAGTAAATAGGTAAATAAGTAAATAAATATCGCAATACAATTTTTATTATATTTTTATGATCAAAGAGCGCACGAGTTGGATTAAATCTTCTTATTATATATATATATATATATATATATATATATATACACATATATATGTATATATATATATATATATACACATATATATGTATATATGATAAAATTAAAATAATAGCACTTCAAAGATATTAATTGTCATAAATTTTAAAATTCCAAGGTTTGAAAATGAGGAAACTAGGTTTTTTTCTCTTCCAGGAATTACGATATCTTATTTATTTAAGATCATTCCTCAATTAGTATTATAAACATTATTTGTTTTGGGAAAAAGAAAGGAGGGTCAAAAGATTTGTAATATACAAAGAGCAGAGCGCATTTGGGGAATGCTAGAGTGAAAAATAATACATAAATCAAATCCTTCTAACATGGTTATAAGTTTTATGTAAACTTTCAATTTATTTGCTGCTCTTAATAATTGATTTTGCTTTTTTTTTCAAATAAATCATCAACACACAGTAATAGTAATACGAAAGTATTAGTTGAGCGAATGTAATTAAAAATTACATATGAAAATGAAGAAAAGAGTAGAATACCAATAGGATTACTGCTACGCCATTAATTGATCCACCAAATACTGCAAGTACTCTTTATTTGGCGCAACAACTTCTCTAAAAGTAGAAATGGAGAAGAAGCAACGTACGAACATCGAGGAGGATTGTAGTAGTAACGACCAATCTTTGTTGATATGTATAAAAAAAGAAATGAATCTGCGGTCATTATTTTTTCTTCATTCCAGGGTAATGAATTGTAGTGTTACTTTATGAAAATTGTTCAGGAAAGTGTATTCTTTGAACTTTGTTTTATGAATTCGCTACTTGACGAGTCAATCGGACAATGGTCCTAGATAATATAAATTATAATTAATTAACATAAGAATAATAAATAAACAAACACAATCTCGAACGCATGTTTGTGTTTTATTAATTAATTTCTCCCATTATTAATTTGTTACATAATAAATGATTTGAAATATTATTTTTGCATTAAAAATTAAAAAATAAAACCAAAATAATTTTACGTCATTCACGGGATTAAGAAGAGAAATAATGGTAAAAAAACAAACTAATGAAACTGTTTAAGTTTCTAATATTTATACAACCAATCATTACAAATATGAAACAGAGGAAGAGGAGTAAAGAAAAAGGTCACGATTATTAATAACATTACAAACTACAGTAATAATACCAATAATGACCAAATTCTATGCAAAAATATATTAATGAAGGTGACACTAATAACATTATTAATATAAATAATGTTGGGAAAGAAGAATATTTAAAAAAGAAAATAAGATAATTTTCAAATAATAATCATAATAATCATAACAACAATAAAACAATAATCATCAAAAATAATAATCGAAATAATTTTAACAATAATCAAAGATATATAAACTTGCTTAAAATAGTTAGGAAAAAAGATGGATTCAAATCCTTTAATAAGAAGAAAATCAGAATCATCTTCATTCTCACTAACATCATTCACCACCACCACCACCAGCAACACCACAACGATGGAATCTGCGACATCGTCATCACTATCCACAATGGTATCACCATCAATAATAACGATAAAACCAAAAACGGTTATTAGGATAGAAAGAGATTACTCAAAAGGAGAATTATGTCAATTCAAAAATGATTTTCCAAAAGAGATTAACGAGAGAGTAAGTACCTTAACAATATATCTTAATAAGAACAATAAGAATAACAATAACATTTCTATTATTTCTAAGGCAATGTTTTCTTCTGATTTGTTTAGGTGAGTCCGATGAGATTCAAAGAAACAATTGATAAATTAAATGAATTATTGAAAGAAGCAGATAATCCAAAATACAGTTGGTTTGAAAATTGCCTTGCATGCATAACATTATATTCTTCAATACTATGTATAAGATCACATTACGACAAGGTAATAAAATATAACATAGATACTTTGTATATGTTACTACTTATTGATTTCTAATTCCTTGATTCTTTAATTTATAGATGGTTGAAGAAATTTGTTTCTTTCTAAATGATGAAAATTTAAATTGTTATAATGAATTAGGCGTTAATTTTAGAGATCCACGTAAAACTTCGTTTTTATATGTATCCTTTTTTATCTATCTCTAAATAAGTGAATCCATCAACTTCCAATAAATTTATTTATCCTTGACAATTTATTAATTATTTCTCTTGATCAGCTTAACCTAGAAGTATATTGATTTATTGACCTAATTTGTATATTAATATTAATTTGTAAAAATTTATTAATTTATTAACTCATTTAATGATTAATTAATTAAATAAAAATATTTCTTTTCTTTCTTTCAAATCTTTTCGTGTTCTAAAGTCGTCGCGAAAGATATACACACCAATAAAATAATGTATAAATACGTTATTTTTTATTCTATTTATCATTATACTGTTATGGTATGTAATCTGTAACATACTATCTGTAATAGTTATTAGATTACTCTTTATTATAAAAGCGAATTTAGCTTGTTTCATTTGTAGTATAATAATAATAAAATTCGCAAAATTATTAATATTTTTAGTAATGAAGAACTTTCTTTCTTGATATATTGGTTCGAAGTTTGATAGCAAGTTTGATAACTTTATTATCACTAGAAAGAAATCTCGGATGTTTCGCGTAATATAATCGCAAATTGGGGAATTTTTCATGGCACAGCACGTGATGTATCAAACAAAATTATAAGTTGTGGAACACTTGATAGTTTAAAATTGTCAAAGTTGAATATTGAAATGAACGAATTTTTTTTATTATCAATGGCAGAAAAATACACATAACCATATCATTTAGATAAAAATGAATCTATTCCCCCGAAAGAAAGCACGGGAGACACAAAAAAATTTTCTTTCGCCGTCCTAGCCTTTTTTGTCCCTTCTTTTACCAGGTAGATATAATTAATTCTTCAAAAATTTAAGAATTCGTAAAGAAGATTACGCTTGTAAAATTTATAAAAGGATATTGTTTATAGTGCTCCTTAACAATGGTCCATTTAGATGTAGATTTCCGTCCTAACATTTAACAGTGTTTGCATCAGTCAACTATCTCTTTTCGTGCTAATGCTATCGTTATGAATTAATAACCAACGTACATCATAGAACTAGTCAACAACCTATATATAGATAAAACATACACGATATTGTTAACAGTTATTTACAATCCAGCTCACTTGTAATTATCAAAGTGTCTATAGGTGTATCACCCTCCAACTATTATCCTGCTTTTATTATAACAAAGCCTTACGTTTCTGATACTTTTCCAATGCAATGCTATTTCAAACTTAGTTCACAATTCTCAAAACATTTATCAGCAACTAAATATGGTTTTTTTCTTCTTATTCACTAGAACTAAGGTTTGAATCTCATAAAGCCCATTACCATAGTCAACAACCTATATATAGATAAAACATACACGATATTGTTAACAGTTATTTACAATCCAGCTCACTTGTAATTATCAAAGTGTCTATAGGTGTATCACCCTCCAACTATTATCCTGCTTTTATTATAACAAAGCCTTACGTTTCTGATACTTTTCCAATGCAATGCTATTTCAAACTTAGTTCACAATTCTCAAAACATTTATCAGCAACTAAATATGGTTTTTTTCTTCTTATTCACTAGAACTAAGGTTTGAATCTCATAAAGCCCATTACCATCTTTAAGTTTAATATTTTCTGGACGTGAATCGGCACACAAAAATTTACCATTTTTCCGACCAAAATTTTTTTACCTTAATGGATAATAAAATTAAACTATTTGTTTTTAATGAGTTCCAAATAATATATCTAATATTGCTCTAAATTCTTTACTTGGCGGACCTCCAAGATACTCGCATCAACATATATAAATTTCTGCATTTAATGAATTTCTTATTTTTGATTCTTTCGCAACTCAAAAGTTAAAATTTTTGAAATATTATGTGATCCACACATTGGATTTTTAAAAACTCACCACCATTCAATTCAGCTTTAAAAAGGGAGTCTATTAATCTAAAAAAATTTTGTCTCGAATTTTCTTTTCCATAGATTTTTTAAATTTGAAAGTTATGCTCAGAAGTGCAACAATAATTTTCGTATCTCACAATTTTGAATCTCACGACCAAATTTGGTAATGATTTTCTTTTAATGTAATATGTTCGTTAAACTTTTTTGTTGTAAAGAACTTTTATTTATTAATAAAAAAAAGGAAATAAATAAGTCAAATAAATCAAATGTATGTTGTAGAAAATATTCTATGAAAAAAAAGTTGTTGTGTGAAATTTACCTAGTCTCAATTTCTTAAGTGTATAACAAAATTCAGAATTTTCAAAATGCTAAGGCTCAGCCAATTTTCGGTTTAAGAAAAAACCAGCCGATAGGTTTTGAAGCTTGAGTCATGAACAATAAAACTTATCGGTTAAATTTTTTAAAATGATGTAATTTTTTTGTTTTAGTATTTTGAAGTTGACCAATTGTTACTATAAGCAATTAATGATTAAAAATGAAACTAATAATGAAAGACTGAAACAAGATTCATGTTTCTTTTAATAAATAGCAATCTTTCCAGTGGGCTTGAATTTAAACTGGACCTAAATTATTTGTTTTACCCGAATTAATTTTTTTGAATTATTTGCTTTATTCAAATTAATATTAATATTAATATTAATTTCCTTATTCGAATTAATTTCCTTATTCGAATTAATTTTTTTATTCGAATTAATTTCCTTATTTGAATCAATTTCCTTATTTGAATCAATTTTCTTATTTGAATCAATTTCTTATTCGAATTAATTTTTTTATTCCTTATTTGAATCAATTTTCTTATTCGAATTATTCATTTTATTTGAATTAAAATTTATTCGAATAAACCTTCAATGTAATTCGAATACTCAAATTCATAATGAATAAAGTGAATAATTCGAATAAACCTTATTCAAATAGAAACCCTATTTTCAAGTGAGGACCCAAGGTTCATTCATTATCACTAAGTTGGTTAAATGTCCAATAAAAAATTTTTATTAGTTATTCACATTTTTGTCTCCCCACACTAGTAATAATTTATCAAGCTAACATACTCAATGTATATAAAATAATTAAACATAACTAATGAAAACATACGAAAAATATATAAAATATAACACTGTATTTATTGTTATTTTTTTTTTTATCAATTATTTGAAAAACTTCCAATTTATCAAATCTACTGCCATGTGTTATATTGATGTTACTATAACTTGGGGCATGCTGCAACAAAACCCAACAAAGTGAACATTGGTGTTACCAATGATTTCAGGATCAATAGTGTTTGTTTATCATCACCACTATAATGTGACCATGATATTTTTTTCACTTCTTATATAGATAGGGTTAGTTACCTTTGCATAAAAATAGTTAATACGAAGCTAATTTACATTAGGTCTACCATGGAACCCAAGAATTATAATACAATCAGAAGCATGTTGAAGAAAGAGCAAGGGAAAAAAATTGCTCCTTATATTTTCAAAATAAATAATACTCAGACACTTGTGAAATTTATCAAGGGGAAAGAAAAATAGAAAAAGAAAGCATCATGATGATGCGTTATTACCTAATAAAAAACAAAATCTTTAAAAGGAAAATAACTACCATTTTCTTTGATAGTTGAAATGAATTTCAATTTATACAGAATTTCTTTAAACTACTTTCTTATTTTCAATCAAGATCATCTCTTTGTTTCTTTAACTTCAATTTGAGCAACTTGTTGGTTCTGTTGTTTCATCAATCATTCAACCTCACTTTCAAGTCTTTTAATTTTATCTAATAATTCTTGTCTTTGCTTATTATGTCAATCCTTTGAAATCTCTAAGGCTTCCAAATGAGTACTGATTTCTTCCTTAGCACTGGATAGTTGCTGTTTTAAGTCTTTATTCTGCTGTTCCAATCTGCCAACATAACTCTGTGCCATTATTTCTGTTATGGTTGGGGTTTTAACTGGTTCATCTTTCCTTAAATCACAAAAACAATCTATCCTGCTTCTCATAATTCTACCACAATCATTACAATGTGGCAAAGTATTATCATCAAGAGCTTTTTTACACTCAACACAAATATAAGCAATGTCATTGTAATCATTATTACTTGTATTGTAAGATACTATTTTGTAAGTAGTATTTAAACTCCTTTCTCTTTCAAAAGGACAGAAATTACAATGCCATTTATCTCCTCTCCTCAGCTCATTAACTTGGTATTCTAATTTCATGCTATTTATTCTTTTGCAAGATATAGGTTTCAAATTTTTCTCAAGTTATTTCTTTTACTTGGCTAACTTTGTTCTTTACTTTGTTAGTTAGGAGTTTAAATTTGTTTTCTTTCTTTGGTAAAACTGGTAGTTCTTGAAGTTGCTTGTCTGCTAAATAATCCTGCCATGCCACAGTGTTTTCTAGCAGTTCTATTTTTCTCAAAGCTTTTTCTAAGTTGTCATCTTTTTCCTTGCTTTGCCTTACTCTCCATTGTCTAGCTACTTCAAGAGCTTCTAAATGACATTCAGATGTTTCCTCCTCTAATTCTAATGCTTCTTCTAATTCTTTAATCTGTTCCTCCTTTTCTTTTAACTTTTCTTCATATCCCTGCTTTTGTTCAAACTTTTGGGAATTTAAATCACTGATTTTTGACCAACTTCTTGCATATTCTGAGGCTAAGTCATTTGAATAATCAATAAACCCTTCTAACATCTCTTCAATGGTAATGTTATCAAATCAAATTCTTTTACAGTTTTTAGCTCATTCTCTGGCTTCATTAGGATCTACTGCCATTCTCAACTTACCTTCATCCATTCATTTCTTATTTAACCTCTTGTATCATCATGTTCCCCTAGGAGCATAAAGACCAACTTCACCCTTGTCATCAAGAGACTGACCAGTAACATGTCAGATTTTTAGTTTAAGATTTTCTTCTTTATCTGCTAATGGCTTCTTTAAATTTTCATTTTCTTCTATCAGTTTTTTATTACTTTCTTGAAGTTCACTTATAATGTTTGTCATTTTCTTTTTATTACTTTTTTTTTATTTGCTCTTTTAATATACTTATATCCTTTTTATGAGGGCATATTAAGTATGTAAATTATTTTAATACTTTTTTACTTTAAAAGTGGGAAAAGCTAACAATATTTGTCAAAAGATTAAACTCATTAAACTTAATGACAGTAAGAGACAAATTAATGAATGATAAAGTCATGAAATGATTTTGTTCTGAATACTTTATTTGTTGCCAGTATAGAATGACCTTGGACAAGTTATATCTTTGTATTCATCTTTCACAAATGGGCGAATATTATGATAAAGGTATTCTTGTCTTTTGTAATCCAAAGGAAGTGGTGTTAACACTAAAATAGATAGGGCCCTAATTTCTTCAAAAATATCTGCTTTCTTAGTTTTCAATAAATTGAATTCAGTAGAAGGTCCATTAGCAACTTCTTGAACTTTCACTGTACCAAGATTAGATGCTTCAAAAAGAAAATGTTGATATTTTTGTATACTTGGCAATTTCTTGAAATAAATTCCCAAAATAGCTTTAATATCTAAGTATTGAAAACCTTTTCCTGCCTTGTAGCATTGGGCTTTATTTAATCCTGCTGGACTAGATCTTTTTACTACATCAACCACATGATCTAGACAATCTACTCTTGTCTTTCTATAAAGTTTTTTAATCAAACCAAAACTACCATCACATTTGAATTTGGTATGTCCTGGAACCATGAAATTTAGTTCAATGCTTTCATAATAACCACAAATTACCAAATATAAATAAAATCAAATTGTTACATTATTTTTATTTTGTCCCCCAGCATTATCACAAGTAATCTTTAAATGCTTTTCACCTTTGTTCAATTTCTTAATTCATCAAAAATCATGCTAAGAGTTCCATTGGGCCCTTTTCCTATAATCTCATTTTCATTAAGAACATAATTAATTTGTTCTCTTGCTGCTTCATCTTGAATACCAAATAAATGAACTTTACATGGACTAAGATAATAAATTTTACTTACTTGTTGATCTAAATGTGGTACATGAACACTTTGGGCTCAAACATAACTATAATGAGCAGTGACATCAATACCACAATATTGTGTTTTACTCTTGGAACAATGTTGATCAACTAGTTTTCTTTGTTCTTCTGCTAATTTGGTATTTTTATTATAATAATTTCTTTCTAATCTTGCCTTAGACAAATTTTCTTTAAATCTTTTGAGCAAATCTTTAGCTTCTTCCTCTTGGCGAGCATTATAATGTAAACAATCTCTAAAATGTTGACAAGTATCACACAAGTCAGTCCTGGGACTCATAATTTGAATTTCTGGTGTCAATTGATGTCATAATTTCCTGAAGGCATCATATTTTAAGGATTTTAATTTGTTATCTTCTTCTAAACCAGCCAAAAAGTCTCTGTGGACTGATTTATAACTCATTTCAGCTGGTAAGAATACAATTGATTGAGTTATTCTATTGATACTTCTTCCTGGACTTGGTAATCCATGGACTTCTGCATAATTTTTTAGAAAATTTTTTACTATTTCTGCAATATTTTTATCAATCACCATTTTAGTTTCCCATTGAGGCATTCTTTTAATATTACCATGAATTCTTGGCAGAAGACCATTGTTTATCAGATGATTTCTAATATTTTCAAAATAAGTCCTACCAATTCCTAACATATTGAGATAAGTTTCTTGACAAAGAAGTGTATTTTGATCCCAATGGTAGAAAGTTTTTTTATTGGATCTAATTTTCTTTTTAAGGTGTCTACTAGTGCTTATTGACCCCCCATCCATTGCTTTAATTTGTGACATTAGAAATATGTCTTGTTCTGGCTTAGAAAGAGCTTGAAAGGATTCCCTTAATTCTGCAAATTCTTCTTTGGGAATTTTTGAGGAGCAACCACATCTACAACCTTTTTCTAAAAAATCAATTGCTTTTTCATATTCATTAGAACCATTATAATTGTTACTTTTATTATTACTTTTCATATACCTATAACCCTATATATAATTTTATAATTTTTATGTTCACTTTGTAAGTTTTTTTATAATTGGTTTAAAATTGAAGTATATGAATGGAATTAATCTTAGATGAATCAGTGGAATAGGTTTAAGTAAATGATTTAAAAAATATGGTTGTTCAATTATTTATGAAGAGAAATTGAAAAATTTGGTCAATGGCCCCACAAAAAATAATTATGTGCAAAAATTTCATGTTTCTGATTTTTTTATTAATATTAATAATGATTTACATTTATCAAAAAAGATTTTACAATATTAAAAATCATTATTATAAAAACATCTTTTAAAAAAATTTTATACATTTAAAATAATATCATTTCATTTAAAAAAATGAATGCCATTTAAATTGACTACCACCTGTGTGATTGATTCAATCATTAATGCTAAATAAACAAATGATTTCAGAATAATACCTTTCATTGCAAGAGTGGAATAAAATAATTACTTTTAAATATAATTAATTACATATCTTGGTTGGATAAAATAAACATGACTTAGCCTTTTGTTGTTATTTAATCCTTTCCTCATATATGTGAATGCCTCCATCCATCAAATATTCATGATGTTCATGATTATTATGTGATACATTTGATATCATCATTGACATAACAAACAATTGCATCACCCAGGTAGTAACAAAGCTTTAATAATGCGTGTCTACCCAGATCCCTGGGGTTCACAAAAATAAATTATTTTTCCTGATTATCAATTATGGTTTCTTATGAATAATAAATCTGACGTTGATCATAGGTGTCAGATTTAATTAAAATTTTCCTAGAACAAACAAGCAAGCGCTGTGCAAAGCATCAATTCAGCACCATGGATTTTATTCCACAGGTGAAAGTGACTTGAACAAGTTGGAAGGCTTTGGACAAAACTTTTCCCTATCTTCCTCTCAGACCAGGTTTGTTGTTGCCATATGGGCATTGATCATTGATGAATATCAGCATTTGTGTGATGCTTGCATTGTGTTATACCCCTCTAGAATAAAGTTGAAGTTGGCACCTGCAACTGGTTCAAAATTCTCCAACTCGGAAGGTTGCAACCTGGGTTGCTATCTTGGATTTTCCCTGAATTTAGACACACCAACTCACCAATAACCTACCTCATTCAAATAACAAATTCAATTGGTCAAATAAAAATTAAAGAGACAGAAAATTTGGGAAAATGATTAATTTATATATAACATACCAAACAAAATCTGAACCATTTTATTTTACAGCTTTCTCTTTGGTGTTAGTGATCATGGTGACTATCACAATAGGAGTGGGTAGGGTCGAGCTGCCACCTTGATACTTGTAAGATACATGCTCTCATTGAGCTACACTCCTTTATTCACCTAGGGTGGTTATACAGGCAAGAGCCCCCATTTAAAAAGTAACAAATTCAATTGGTCAAATAAAAATTTACAAAACAGAGTATTTATGAAAATGATTAATTTATATAACATACCAAACAAAATCCAAACCATTTTATAACTTTTTTCTTGTTGGCCACATTGCTAGCAAAGATATATATAATCATGTAATAATTTTAATCTATAGGACAGGGGACTGATTGGGCAAAACACCATTCAATCCCTTACCCAAAATTATAAATTGGTTAGTATCAAAGAAACAGAGAATTTATGAAAATGATTATACAAAACAAACACTATTTTACAACTTTCCTCTTAACATCAGAGCCCAAATGTGATTTCAGGGCCACCAACCCCACCCTGGATTGCAATCTCCCTGTTCTTGAAACAAGCTGCAGATTCTCTTAATATTCCTCCAGAGTTGCGACATGGTTACAGAGCCATCCATCCTTACCCTAAGGGTGGGATCGTTGCAGGAAACTTTTCATCTAACATGCCAGCAGCCTTCTCTGGTCTGGAAAGATTAGTGAAAATGTCCTTGACGATTGATGCAGACTCGGTAAACTCCAGGGCCTTGGGCCTCCCCCCTGGAATTCAGTTGCATCATTGTATCATCGAGAGCACCGTGGTCAGATTAGCCTTGTGTACATGAGGAAAATGAGAGAATGACTGTAAGTGTTCAAGGTGGAGTGCGCGTCTTGACAATTGTAAAATTTCCGATAATCAAACATCGCATTTTCGAAATGTTTCGACAGTCATGCTGCCTTGACATCTTCTTGTAATTATATAGTAATATTAATAATATTATTACGATTACGCAAAGCAAAATATTATCAATGAAAATCTTGTAATTACCCAGCAATGATCTGCTCCACGTTTTGATTTCCAATTAAAATATTTATAATAACCAAAAAAGACAATACAAATAAAATATAGTACCTCTGGTTAGTTATTAACACGTATTCCCAAACCAAACCAAACAACAACACTCACGTTTTGTCACCTTGGACTCTGTCAAAAAATAAATTAATTGTTTTTTGTTTTTCCTACCAAAAAAAAAAACCAATAGGGTAAATAATTAATATGTACGCGTCGATCAAATATAAAATTCTTTTTTAAAAAAATTTTTTTAACATGCCTCCAAAAAGGAAATTACATCAAAGAGAAAACGAATCCGGCCGCGATGAAAGAGAGTAAGTGTTTTAAGAATGGTGGTGGTTATCGCCATCACTCGTCATCACTCTAGTTATTAAATTTTCATTGATTTTGTACAACAACATTTTATATTGTTACAAAAAACATTTAAATATTTGTATTTGAACCCCAAAGGAGGAAGAAGGAGTCTTTCGTTCCTGTATTAATTTTTGATTTTGTTCCATTGGAGGTTTTATCTGGTGTTGACAAAAATACTAATGTTGGTAATTATAGCTTTCAATTCTTTTAAATAACATATATTTTGTCTTATTTACTTGTCAATTATCAATAACATATCTGATATCTGATATACTTTATTTTAATAGATATTATTGGGATCATTAAATATTGTTCTTCTATTACTGATATCCTTCCAAAAGCTTCTCTAGACCCTGTATTCATTTTTTATATATGTTTCATTGGAAAATTTCTTTTAAAATTCATTAATTATTATTATTATTATTTTTTTTTTTTGATTTTAGGTTCAAAAACAAGATCTTGAAATTGTTGATAAAAGTGGTTATGAGATCAGAGTAACGTTATGGGGACATCATGTTGATAACTATCTCTCTCTTGGTTCAGCAATTGCCATAAAATGTGGTCGTCTCACTGATTATAAAGGTTTGAGGATCTTTAATAATATTTTACACACATATATGTGTAAGTGATGAGTAATTATTATTTTTTCTATAGGTAAATCAATATCAACATCACGAAACACCACCATACTTATAAATCCTTCAATACCAGAAGCAGCTGAATTGTTAGAATGGTATTATTAATCATTATTCATATTTGTTTGTTGGTTATAGTGACCATATAGTTTTAAACTAATTGATAATCCATCTTTTCCTAGGCATAAATAACTCAAATAAGTCCAAATCAGAATTTATTAAATTAAGCAATTTACCCCAATTGATTAATATAAATGATGTTCAAACAATAGCTGAAGTTTTAACTGACAAAACCTTAGGATGCAAGGACAAAGTAATTCTTACATGCATTTATATATACATACAGTGTGTAACAAAAATAATTGGAAAATTATTCCTGTTGTTTAAATGCATGTTTTGTACTCAAATTAAATCCAATTCGTGTTGCGTAACTTTCAAAACAAATGAGAATAATAAATTTATCTTTTTAGATCATCTGTTTTGTTTGTTATTTTTCAATTGTTGTAAAAATTGACTTTAAAATGTCCACATCTGACCAAGAAAGACAACGTCAGACTCTATTACATTTCTGGAACCAGGGTGTGAGATCTGCTAAAGAACTTCACACTCTGACAAATATTCCCCTTTCTACTATCTATTTTAACATCGAAAAAATTAAAAATACAGGCAATATTTTGCACAAAGGTGGTAATGGACAACCAAAGAAGATTACTGCGGATACTGCATGTTTAATTGGACAAACTATTAGAAGAGATACTTCAGTTTCTGTAAGATCATTGGTGAACAAAGTAGCAACAAAAGGAATAGAAGTATCTCACATGACTATCTTGAGACATTTATCAAACCATGGTTATAAAAAAAGCCTTCCACAAGCCACCCCTATGCTAACAACAGTTCACAAGGAGAAAAGAGTTGAATGGGCAAGGAAACACTTGAATGATGACTGGTCACAGACATTATTCACTGATGAAACGGCCTTTCAACTGTTTAGGAATACAGTGGAATGTTGGCATAAAGGTGTGAAACCAGTTCATCACATGCCAAAAGACAGAACAAAAATTTTAGCATGGGCGGATTTTGTGTAAATGGACGAATGAGTCTTTTTTGCTTTAGTCAAATAATGGATGCGAATTTTTATGTAGATATACTTAGAAATCACATTCCAGAGGTTAATGAGATGCTAGGGGATGTTTGGTGATTTCAACAGGACAATGATCCTAAACATACTAGTAGAATCACCCGAGCATTTCTCAACGAAAATGTTCCTGAATTGATGGACTGGCCATCAAACAGTCCTGACCTTAACCCCATTGAAAACCTCTGGAGTATTGTTAAACGAAATGTTGAAAGAAGGATGCCAAAAAATTGTGACGAATTAAAACATTTTATGAAGGAGGAATGCGACAATATTCCAAATAATGTTTTAATTAATTTGATAAACTCAATGAAAGATCGTTGTGAATTGATTATTGAAAAAAA